CGAGTCGTACTGACTCGCTCGTCGACTCGTCCTAATCCCGTGCTCCTGGTTCCCCTCTACCAACTATGCTATTCGATGGTGGGGGTAGTCCTACTCCTCGCTTCAACGAATTGCAGCGACATCTCTTGGTATTCTCTCGACCTATCTATTAGGTTTCTACTCTTATCGACATGAGAATACCTTTTTACCGGCCTATTTATCTTCTTTCAATTATTAATATATTATATGAAAGTATTGTATGTGAAAATATACAGTAACTGTAAAAAGTATTCGTACGTTAATGAATTTGAATAAATACTTTGTAAAATTTTGTTTATTATAAAAAAAATTTTAACAAAAAATATATATATACGTATTCTTTAAAATGAATATTATTAAAACATTATTATTATTTATTTATATTTGTTATATTAATGAATTTTCCAAAATTAATAGAAAATATACGCGTAATAAGTATTTCTACATTTCTACATTTACAAACAAAAACTGTACATTTTAATACATAAACGTAACAAAAAAGCAATTTATTTGCAATTTTAATACTTAATGAGATACCCTTTAGATTTTATAATCGCTTTAAGCTTTTATAGCATCGAATTTACTAAATTTTTGATTTTAATACTAGAAATTTTATTTCACTCTATTAACAGTGCATTTTTTTTAATCTTTCTTGGAAGAAATATGATAATTAAGAATGTTTTCTTCGAGATAATCCCATAAGTTATCTATAATACCTCATAAATTCTGTAACATTCAATTCTGAAGATTGTGAGAGGACTTTTAATTGATTTGATACATTATGCAAGATCCATTGCGTATTATAAGTATTGTGCTTTAATATATAAATAATTATCTTGTAAGAACACATAATTGTTCTGTAATTCAATTTTATTTACATCAGCTTGAAGATGTTGTTTTAAAATATCAATATACAATTTATGATCCATGATAACATCGATAAAATGGAAAGATCCAACTACGTTTGCATTCATGAAGATCCCAAAACTGTGATTAAGCCTCGTTCATGCTTGCAAATTATTTTTCTCATATTCGATATTTTTTTTTGTTTTCTCCATACAGTACATCGTCCATTCGACGATAATTATGTTACATTTACTTTCATCAGTAAATATAAAATGATTTCAGTACTCTATAGAAATATTTATATACTCTTTCGCAAATTCTAATCGTTTCTTTTTATTGAATTCATTTACGAAATATTTTCTACGAGTTACTCTACCATGATATCCTATAGCTCGTAAAAAATTACGCTATTTATATAATAGTACTATTGTACTACAGATTAATATTAAAATTATTTTTAAATTTAGCAGCGATATTTGCTGCAATTATTTTTGAATTTTGTTTTATTTTTCGAATTATCCATCGGCCAAGTGTAATCATTTATTTTGCGTTTATATCCATTTCGTGGATTTATTTTTTAAAAGTTTTTTGGTCTCCATAACTGTCAATGATTCCTTAAATCGTGAAACATGGTCGATTTATAATTTTCAAAATTTCATTCAGTGTTTTGCACTTATTATATAAATTTGTAATAATTTTCCTTTCTTCTTCTGTAATTTCCTTGCCTTTTTGTTCTATTTTACGATTATCACTGTTTACTATATATATATATATAAATTTAGAACACTATCTGTATTGACAACAAAGTCTTCAAATATTCTAAATATTCTGATATATTGATCCTAGATATATTGATATAAGATGTATTAACTTGTATTTATCCAATGTACAATTATCACGAATTAAAATCAGAAAAACTCTACGAATACTTATTACGCATATATTTTCTGTTAATTTTTGAAAATTTGTTAATAATTTCATAAGAAATATAAGTGAATAATTATTTTTTTATAACATTCGTTTTACAGATTTCTAAGAATATGTATATATATTTTTTTATTGAGATTTCTTTTTAAATAAACAAAGTTCTACAATGTTTTTATTGAAATTGACTGTTGTACGAATATTTTTTAAGACTCACTGTATACAATTTAGCGTTTTCTTTCTTTATCTCGTTCTCTTTTTATTTTCGCATAATTAAGAGCAAGGAATATATTAAATGTTTTGATAATAAATCTATATGAACAAAAAAAAAAAGATATTAAAAAAGTAAAATTACTTTTTTCTATACAAATTAATTTATATTTTATACGAGTCTCTTATCCTCGTTTCTTTTTTGTTCCTTTTATATATTATTTCATATATCGAATAAGTCATCTGAAATTAGAAAATTTGGAATATTAAGATCACTTTCCGTGCAAAAAAAAAAAAAAAAAAAAAAAAAAAAAAAGAAATATTTCTGATGAAGAAAATATCTTTTCTTCTTCTTCTTCTTTTTTTTTGACTTTTTTCAAACATTTTACATATAAATATTCCCAATAGGAATAACATTTCGTTAAATATTTATATAAAATATATATTATAATGTATACATTGGAATATAAAGAGAACGATTTTATGTTAAAAAAAAAAAAAAAATATGTTAGATAATTAAAAAACAGATTCACAAGAAGTATTTTAATATTAACTGTCGTATTATTGATAAACATTAATAATCAATGATTATGTTCGATTATCATCGAAAATAAACAAAACTTTGAAATATATAATAATATTAGATAACACATTATTATCGTTATATGATCATTTGAAATTATCGAAGATTGTAATAAACCGTAGAAAACGAAAAAGCTTTTTGCGTTAACTAAAATAAAAGATTAATCGTTATAATTAAATACGTCAAACATATTTCTGATTAAATTCTTTTCTTTTTTCTTTTTTTTCTTTTTGTTATTTTTTTTTCTTTTTTTTTTTTTTTCTTTATCTTTCTTACCCAAGCAAAAACTTCGTGCGATGATACGAACATACCACCGATCGATAATATGCACGGTTTCATACTTCTCATGATCGCAAATAATAAGAGCTTTTGAGTTTTCACTGAAAGAACGTAGAAAGGAACTTGACACCTGAAAACAGATATGTTATTAAAAATAATTAATATTACAACGATTAGAAAATTCTTTTCAAATACAGCTATGTCAAACTTAAAAATGGCTGTATTAATGCTGTATTAATTTCTTTTCCTTTCTCTCTCTTTTTTTTTCTTTTTTTGCTTTTTTAATATTTAAAAAAAAAATTTTTTTTAACTAAATTATATTAAACTTTATAAATACGAAGATATTAATTATTTCGTTCCATTGTGCACGACTTTCGAATATATTATTGTTAGTTATCAATGAAATGAAAATATTCTGTTGTATCTTAGAAATCTTACAATTCATTAGATGCGTCATTGCTATGATTCAAAAGCCGTTGTCCAATGTAAAAGTTAATGTATGTAGTTAATAGAGTGGAAATAATGTAGCTACTGCATTCAATTATTTCAATTTTCCTTTTCAATTTCGTAAATAATTCAAACATCTGTGAGGAAAGATTAGATGTACAAGAAAATATTTATAAAAATATCCACAAAAAAAGTTTCTTCAATATTTTCCTATAAAGACATATATATGCATATAAATATTATGTAAAATAGCGCAATATACAAACCATCATTTTTCTTTCTCTTTAAATGTAATCATATAATATTAATCTTAAAAGCATTAAATATTCGTATATAAACCAACAATACATATGGAATTTTCTGAAATTTTATTTAACAAAAATCTATGTATAATTCTAAAGTTGTTAAAAGAATATAGATAACATATAAATTAGATTGATCGAAAAGTTTCTCTGTAAACGTTTGATTATTATTATAGAAAATAATTTATCAAAAGGAAAAACAAAAAAAAAGCACAATTTTTTTATCCAATAATTGTTTAAATAAAAATCAAAAGAATATTTATTTCAAATAATTACATCATTATATGACATATTAGCTAAGCTTATTTGAGGATAAAAAAATAAAATAAAGTTTAGAATATATAGAAATATTAATGCCATATTTCAAAGTTACTCGAATTTATGGAGAATAATTTTTATCAATAAAAACAAATTAATATTGTGGAATTATATATAGCTAATATTTTACATTAAACTAATAACTTACGTAAAGAAAATTAAAAACAATGAGGAACATTCCAAAAGAAATTATAACAAAGTAGATCGTCTCCGAAAAATCATTAATCAAGTCAACAAATCTTGAAAAGAGAATAAAAAATGAATTATCATAAAATATAAATTAATGTATATATATATATATAGGTTTTAGATACACTAGCTCATTCATAATGCATTAATTAATATAAATTTATCTCAGACTAACTCGGTGACTCTTACAAAACGCTTTATTATATCAAATATCCAATCGAATTCCTCTTCAGGTGTTCTATTATAACTAATTTTACGTAAACACATCTGATGCTTTTGAAAAGGTTCATGTATCCTTCGTCTGTAACAAGAACAATTTCTAAAATAATGTTGAGATATTTGTCAAAAATGCGGGTTGATGATTAAGTTAAAGAAAAAAAAAAAAAAAAAAATGAATAGAAAAAGTAACATTGCGAAAAATTAAATACATACATTATAATGCTAAATTGACTACAAGCGTGTTGTATCGATGCCCAATATGATGAAAAACAGGCACAGGCTATTGTCAATAACAAATAAATCATTATCACTTGATAAATGAGTGAACTATAATACGACCATGAGCTTAAATCATTATTAATAGATATGGGTAATGTTAATTGATCTTTATCCTTTTTACCAAAGAGATATAAGAAAAGATTTAAAATACTTGATGATATCAAAGAGCAACCATATAGAAAGTAAATAACTGCAATAGAATGCAAAAATGATAACTAAATAATATTCTATCCGTTAATTGTATGATTTTATACAATTATGTGCATACCCACAATGACATACGTATAAATTTTACTTTTTTTCGTATATTTTTCCATAATGTTAAATTCCTCCTCGTCGTATGTCCGATCATAATCGGATTTTATATGGGAACATAATTTTTTCATCTTAAAAAAAAAAAAAAAAAAAAAAAAAGAAAAAATAAAAAAAAGAAAAATAACTCACTAACTTTCACAAATCCAAAAATATTTTCATTTTATAATGTAGATCAGTATAATAAAATTATTACAAACTGCTACGTATTTAATGGAAGTTGCACTGTAGGTACATAGGATACATGTTGCAGTACACATTTGCTGAAGCACTTTGACGGACGATTCCAATTTAATATCTGTCGTTAATAGCTGGTAAAGCTGCAATTGCGAAACGTTTGTAAATATCAAATGTGAACATAATTTTTTTTATACATATATAGGTATATATATAATTTACACAGTAATTACTATAGAATAATCATCGTATGATAAATAAATAAAATATAATAAATAATATAACTATCATGTAATTAAAAACGAAACAAAAAAAAAAGAAAACAAAAAAAAAGTAATAACGACCCATATAAATCGAAAACAGAACAGAAGCAATTACCTGATGCAAAATCCCTGGTAACACGTAAATGATTATTGTAAAAAATAGAAAAAAATGATTGACTGAATTTTGATGGGGATGTATGCCTATTAAAAATTGTACCAGTCGATTCGAAAAAAGAAAGTGTTGTTCGATATTCGATGTTAGCCCTTTCAGAATCATTCCGACGTACATATGTATGCATATCTACTATAAACTTGGTCAAAGTAAACAATGAACCTTGCTGCTTCTTCCTCATTGCATATTCTAATTGTCGATCATTATTTTATAGATAGTAGTAATAGTAAAAGAGATGAATTGAAAATAGTACTATTAATAATTCGATCGATAGAATGTAATGTTATAATGTTTTATGCGTTTCTTCATTCTCACAATAGACAGTTAATATTTTTTTTTGCTCTCTCTCTCTCTCTCTCTCTCTCTTAGATACAATTTACTTTTCGTACGTAAGGGTTGAAACAGGTGATAGTTTTCGAACTATTAAACGAGGGGAGTTCTCCCCTTTTCCTTTTATTTCTGAAAAACATGCACAGATGGCACTGTTTACCTGCAAGCCTGTTCAGTCGATGTTCGACCGCCGTAGAAGACGGAACGGACAAATTATTATATCAGTTTTTTTTTTTTAGTGAAATACAGTTGACCATATCGATGATATAATATTGCGCACGTTTTATATATATTATATATATATATATATATATATATATATATATTTGTGAGGAAAAAATTATGCAATGATAAAATGTCGATAGATATATAATAAATCGTTTCTTAATTAAATAGAAAGATATTTTGTGATTTAAGGAATGCAATATACAAAATGTAAGTTATTTAACGTTAAATACTTTATTGATAATTAATTATTTCGTTGCATTTTACTATTTAATACGAATGTATATATCCGATTTCTTTTTCTGTTTTTTTTTCTTTTTCATTTGCTTTTTATTTTTCTTTTTGTCTTTACAGATATAATTCAATCTTTTTTTTTTGTAATACATTTCATATATTCGTTATTCCGATATAACTTTGAATTATTGCACATTGTAATACATTAAAGAAAATGAAAATGCTTTCTGGATCATCTGTAATATATATATATATACTTTTCATTAAATTAATTTTTACCACAGCAAAAACTTCATGCGACGACACGCAGAAACCACCTATTGATAGTTCACATGGCTTCATGGTTCTTGTTAAAACGAATAACAGGAGCTTTTGAGTTCTAATAGAAAGATTGTAGAAGGGTACTTGACATCTATAAAAAAAAAAAAACAAAAAATAATAATAACAATAAATATATGTATATAAAAAAAAATTGTTATTTAAAAAATAATTGATTTGCACCTAATTAAAAAAAAAAAACCAAATAATAGATTTCAATTAATATAATATTTATTTTAATATTAATTACGATCAATATAAAATTCGTTTTAGATATAAAATATTATATAAAAAGACGAGTGAGACAGAAAGAGAGAGAGAGAGAGAGAGAGAGAGAGAGAGAGAGAAAGGAGGGAAATAAATATTTGGTAGTTTTTTACAATTTTTCAATTCTTTACAATTCTTCGAAAGTTGCGTTGCTGTGATTTATAAGCTTTTGTTCACAATAAAAATTAATATATATCGTAAATATAGAGCAGGAGATATAAATGCTTTGTTCAATTATTTCAACGTTACTCCATTTCTTCATTACTTCATTACTTCAATTTCAATGATATTTGAAATATCTGAAAACAAATTGCGATACATAACATATGAATGTTGATTAAAAACGAGTTTACAATACAATATTTTTATAAATAAATAAATATTGTGCCAAAATGTTTTATAAATTTAAATTGGAAAAAAATGACTGATCGACAATTTTTATTTATTTTTTTTTTGTTATCTGCCATTTTTTCTTTTTTTTCATTTTTTTTTTTTTCCTTATATAAATAATCTATGAAAAATGAGGTTTTGCTTGAAAATAATTGTACTCTATGTCTCTAGAACTTTTCGATATTTAAAACAGATACGTATGTATTGAATTCTTCCATATAGAATGTTGATATTATCGAATTTTTTTCTCTTTTTCTTTTCTTTTTTTTATTTTTTTTTTTTTTAACATTTCTGCACTATCTTTTGTCAGCTTTTTCTAATATAAGGAAAAGCTGGCAAAAGATAATTAAAAGGTAATTAAATAAATGTAAAATTATGGCTATATAATTAAATAATTTAGAAAACATTTGTGTGTGCGAGCGTGTGCGGGTGTGTGTATATGCATGAGTGTTTGTGTGTGTGTCTGTGTGTTTGTGATTATTTAAGTTTATAAAGAAATTTTACATTTAATTTTATTTTAAAATTAAATTTTAATAAAATAATAAATAATTAGCACATTTATTATAAATTAATTACTCACATAAAGGAAATCGATGACGATGAGGAACATAGCTAAGAAAACTAGAATTAAGTATAATATCTTGGAAAAATTGTTTAGCAAATTGACAAACCTTGAAAGAAGAAAAAAAAAAAGAAGATAAAAAGAGAAAAAGGAAACAAAATATAAAATTATTATAATAAAATATAATTAAATTAAATATTCATCGTAAACATATGCTTGCTCATTTATAATCCGTAAATTAAGAAAAAAAAAAAATATGAATTAATTCGGACAATTTCGTTGGTAACTCTTTTGTAACGAACAATAATCTCAATTATCCAATATAATTCGTCATAATTATGTATTCCATCGAGGCAAACATTTTTTATATATTTTCGATTCTTAAATAATTGCCGTATTTTATACCTGCAATAAATTAAAATGAAATAATTATATTTAAAAATGAAATATCCTTTATAAATTGATCATATACATTATAATACTAAATTGACTACATGCGTGTTGTATTACTATCAAATATAATGAAAAATATATAGCAGCTACCATCAACAAGATATAAAATGCTATTATTTGATAAATAAGCAAAATATAATATAATAATCCTGCTTTTGTAATATTATTATTGATGGAAAATGGTAATATCAAATCAACGTTATCCAATCCATAAAAGATGTACAATAAAATATTCAAAATACACGGTGATATCACGGAAATAGCATAGAGGTTGTAAATAACTACAAAAATTCAAAAGCATATATGTATATACATATATATATATATTTGAGTGTATCTGTGTGTGTGTGTGTATGTGTGTAATTGTAATATTATGTATATATATATATATATATATATATATATATATATATATATATATAATTATTGGCATATATTTTTTCATACTTACTCAGGAATGTCAATGTATAAAATTTGCTTTGTTTCATATATTTATTCATAATATATAATTCATCCTCGTGTAATATCAGCTCGTAATCAAGCTTAAAATGAGCAAATATTGATCTCATCTGAGGAAATAATATTTCTTTATAATTGTCAAAAGTATCTTCAATATGGAAAAAATAAATGAAATATAAGACAAATATCGTACGTGCCGTTACGAAACTGAAATAAGTTGTGCTATAGGTACATATAAAACTTATAGCTGTAAATATTTTCTGAAGTATATTGATAACCAATTTAAAATTAATCTCTGATATAAATAATTGATATAACTGAAAATGTAAAATATTAGTAACAAATCAATGTGTTAATACGTTTAATCACATTTTAAAAAGTAATTAATATACATATATATGTCCATCGAATCGAATAGAATAAAACAATTTTTAATAAAAAAAAAAAATTATATTAATAAATATTAATTAAATTAATTTAATAATAATTTTTATATTAATCAAATTAATAAAAATTATACTTTAATAAAAAATTATTAATGAAGCATTAATTTAAAAGAAAAAAAAAAAAAAATATATATATATATATATATATATATATATATATATATAATTATGATAATGACAATGAGTAAATTGATCACGATAACATTTACCAGATGTAAAAATATTGGCAACGAGTACAATTTTACTACAGAGATAAATAATAATTGATTGTATGAATTTTGATATGGACGTAGCCCCATTATGAATTGAACCACTCTATACGAAAGGAGAAAATGCTCTTCTTAATAAGTTAGATCTCTCAAAAACATATCGAAATATGTAACTTTCAAAATATCAAGATAAAAAATAATTTCCTAGAATTTTTCTTCATTAAGGATTTAAATAACCCTTCGTTTTAGTTCGTACCATAACTTGTCAAATAGTGACATGAAAATAATACCATAATGATCGGATCAATAGTATACAATCATAAAATATATTTTTCTTATAGATGTACCATATTCGTGATATTGAACCCTTCTTGATAATACTGTTATACATGTAATTACGAAAATAGTTGGTTGTTCCGAACGATTAAATTAAATAATTCATTCCGTTTCAATCGAGAGTCATGCGCAGAAAGATATATTGTTTGCAACCATAGTCAGTAGTTGTCCGACCGCGGTACAGGACACATGGTTAAATAGACGCAATATACATTGAACAATATTAATTATTT